TCACCACAACATGAGAACAACTGTCTTAAAGGGTCACGGCATTAGGAAGGTTGAGAACCACTGAGCTAGATCATCCAAGAAGATCGCCCTATCTTAAGATCAGCTCATTGGGAACCTTGATTTCCTCTGCCGTCTTGAATTCCACTTTGCCACGGAACCACTGGTTCCAGAGATGAGGACATGGACATCTTGGGGGCAGGGTCAGCCTGCCACAGCGGGCATTTCACGCTGCGTTTCTTGAGGTTGCCGAAAATTAGAGTTATTTATCTAGACTCGGTGTAATTACCAGAAATTACATTGTACTCCCCTGGCACCCGCTTCAAGCTTTACCTTCCATTTCTTGTACTTTCCGACACTTCTGAGGATCCAAATTAAAAATCTACTGTTTCATATTCTCTACCTTGGGTTTAGTTTATAAATTAGGAATAATAATGTACTCTTCTCCCTCTGACATATTTGTCAAACAACCACTGATAGGCCTTCATAGATAGGTCCCAGGTAGGGACGACCATGGGCTAATGTGTGTGCTGTGTTTCATTTTATATATTCACCAGCATGTACGTTACTGTTGTTACCGTGTGCGCGCGCATCAATTACAGCTCTCCATTGCCCAGTGTGACAGAGTGGAACTGCCCCAGAGGGTTTCCGCGGTGGCTGACTGTTTGGAGATTTACCACATCCTTCTGTTGGTTTCGCAGTGTGCCTACACTCACTTCAAGCCCTTGGAGACCTGCATCAGCGAGCAGCACGACTACCACTTTCATGACGGCGTGAAGCGCTTCTTCAAGTGCCCCTGTGGAAACCGGAGTATCTCGCTGGACAGGCTCCCTAAGAAGCACTGCAGGTAGGAGAACTGCCAGGGACTCACTGGTTCTTTCCCCGCCTAGGCCAGACTCGTCCACCGGAACATTGGACAGTTGTTCTTGTCTGATTCGCATCTTTTATTTCTAAGGCTTCTTAAGCCTCCTAGATAGCCTTGATACTAGAGACACTGAAAGGAAGAGATCCTGTCTACTCGCTGCCACATCCCACGGTTTACTAACTACTAACCCGCTGCCCTTGAGTCGATGCCAACTCTTGCGCCCCTGTGGAACAGGCCCAACCGCTCCTGTGGGTGTCCGAGGCTGCGGCGCTCTACAAGACTCAGTCTCCTCTTTCTCCCATGGAGCGGCTGGTGGTTTCTAACTGATGACCTGGAGACGAGCAGCCAACCCGGAACCCACCGTGCCAGCCAGGCTTCTGTTTCAACTCAGAGACCCTCTCTAGGGTTCCTGAGACAATGACCCTCCACAGGAGCAGAGAGCCTCGTCATCCCCCTCAGGGGGCGGGCAGGTTGGAACCAGGGACCTTGAGGCTAGCAGCACAACCTTTACCCTTCAGAGCCTCATATCCTAGTACTTCCTACATTGCCTGGCCCAAAATAAGCCCTAAAAAAAATTCAAGAATTAAATGAAAGGTGGTTTGACAAATATATGTGCAGTTGTTGAGGCCTCTCCGCTCTCCAGGAGTTCATCCTCTTTTTAAATTATTGTGAACGTGTGTATAGTGTCTTTTAAGGGTCTTCTGGCTCTGTCTTTCTTTTATGAGGGCAGGGGCTTCAGAGGCAGAGCGACCAGCATGACATACACAGGTTTATTCCCAACAGTACGTGTGTAAACATGGTCCTGTGATCAGTGATGGCTGTAGACAGGTGTTTGGGGTGAGCAAATATCTTAGTCTCCTTAAGGCACTTTCTCCACAAGGGTCCAATCAAAACAGTGATTTCCAAGGGCACTCGCTGAGCCAGAGAAGCATTCAGAAGCTTACCACCACTGTGTTTGTTTTGTTTGTTGTTTTCATCCCAAAAGGTATTGATTGGTTTTCTTGAAGGACGCAGGCTGATCATGTAGTGTGTTAGGAAGAAGTTTAAGAGAATTAGAATCTGCACTGGTTATCAAGAGGCCAGGAAGGTTGTCCGGAGGAATTCTTCTCCAGCATGACAAATGCCCCTGCGGGTTTTTCAAGGAGGCTCGGGCTGTCCCGGGAGAATTTTGTTGGGAAATTTACCTCAACCACCGGACCTTGCCCCTTCGACTTCTTTTGTTGCCCAAACTCAAAGCACATGGAGCGGAACACTATTTGAGCCCTTCAAAGTTACCCAAACATAATGTTTTGACATAGTGTATATTAAGAAGATGTATTTCTTCAGGGGAGGGTTAGACAGATTGAAACAGCCTTTCAGAAGTCTATAGACCTGGATGGTGAGTAGGTCACGAAGCAATAGCTTCACGTTTTGATAGTTCAATAAAAGTTTCTATGGTTTTGTAGCAGTGCTTTTGACTTACCCCTTCTCTGTCTCGTTTCTTTTTTCCCTGAGCTCTGTCGTTTGAGGATGCCACTGCTCTCTTTACCTTCTAGCCTATGGTCATGCCACATAGCTTCTCACTTGAGTGTCCATCACCTTTCATCAACTCTGCCTGTGACGGCCTCCCAGGTTGCTTCCAAAGCCCCTCCATCACCTCCGATGGTCCTGTGTCAGTCTGAAGTCTACCCAGGAGTAGCACTGACTAGCTAGCATCAGAATTGCTGTCTGCAATTGCCAGACCAGTCCAGAGTGCCGTCAGACGTACACAAGACCCTCCGTAGCCTCCTGTCCTCACCAGCATGTGGCATTGTCCCAGTGAGCGAGGTGCTCCCGAGAACCCACGATAATCTCCCTCCACGGCTCCCAGTGCTGCTTTGGGGGCGGGGGGCCAGGAGCCCGTGCTGGTGCTCAGTCTTAATCAGGAGCCGCTTTCTGAGGCTTCCTGTTACCTAGATTGTCATTTGTTCAAAGTATCTTCAGACACACACCGCATCCCTTTCTAACGTAGGTTACAAAAGAGGTTGCAATAGCAAGCGTTTATGTGAACATGAAGCTGTTGGGAAAAACTGGTTCATGTAGGATAATTAGTAAGTGGAACTCACAAATGAAAAGAGCAATGTGCTTCTGAAACCCTGTTGGAGATGCTGTTATTTTTTGGAAGAACGGCTATTTCTCTCGACTCAAAGAGTAGGGACCAAGAGGCTTTTAAATAAAAGACGAGAGAGCCAACAGTCCAGGTTGTGTGGGCCATGTGCTCTATGTCCTAATTACTCAACTTTGCTTTTCAAGTACAAACACTGCTGCGTTCCAATAACCCTTGATTTACAAAAACAGGTGGCAGGTTGTATCTGGGCCATAGATCACATGTTTTACAAACCTCATTATTTATTATTGGGATGTGAATTTCTTTTGATAGATACTAAACCTGTCTTCAGAATGTAGTGTCTCTTCCTTTAATTCGTATGGCTCTTAAACGCAACTTTAGAACACAGAAAATAGGAAGGTTATGGAACTTTTATTCTTTCTTAAATAAGACAGCTCTCTGAAAAATGAGTAAGCCACGGATCTAGAGGCTGGTTGAGGTAGACATTTTTCTCCTCACAAATAAGCCTCAAAGTAAGCTTTTAAGAAAATGAAAGGGATACTAGTAGATGACCTATTTGCTTCTCAGCGAACTGTCTGTGTTCACGCCAGCCACGCCCATGTAAATAACTTCCCATCAGCCCCAGTGGCTCACCACGCAGCCCCCCACCGTCCGGAGTCCCTCGTCAGCCCGTGGCCAGTTGGGTTGTTGGTCGTACCATTGAGTCAGTTCCAACTCACAGCAAGCCTGTGTGCAACAGCAGGACGCACTCCCCAGTCCGGTCCCATTCTCAGTCGTTGCTCTCTGAGTTCATTGTGGTAGATTCTGTGTTCAGTCCGTCTTGATGCCGCCCTTCTCCCTAGCCTGATGTCCCACTCCAGGGACTGATCCCACTTGGTGACATAGCCACAGTACACGAGTCCGTACTTCCCCGTCCTCACCTGTAAGCATTCCGGCTGTGCGTCTGAGACAGCTGTGTGTTCTTCTGGTAGTCCGTGACCTCTAAGGTGCTCACCCACACCAGATGTGCACTCATCGTCTACCCAAACCAAAGCCACCACCAGCAAGTCAATTCCCACACACAGCCACCGAGCGGAACACAGAGAGCTGGCCCCGTGGGTTTTCAGGGCTGTAGTAAATCCAATCTTCCCAGAAGCACGCTGCCACGCCTTCCTCCCCAGGAGCAGCTGATGGCTGCAAACCACCCACCTTTCAGTTAGCAGCCTTGACCACCACACACCCTCTCATCACCTACAGTGTGGTCACACCTGTGGTTCACCTGGAGACAACTCTGCCTCATGGTGGCCCCCTGTGTGTCGTGGGAGAACTGGATTTTCAGTAGATGCCCCCCGCCTTCTTCTGAGGTGCCTCTGGGTGGATTGAGATCTCTAGTTTTCCAGTTAGCAGCAGAGCCTGTCTGCACCGACCAGAGACACAGCATAAATGGCCTGGTTAAGATAGGTGAAATTCCATCTCTGATGATGATACCTGAAGATCGCTGGGTGCTCATTGCTTTCAGCATTAGCCCAGGGCCTCAGGTCGGGCCGAGCAGTGGGCCTGGGCCACGTGTTCCTGGAGCAGGAAGACTGGCCCTGCGCTGAGCAGCAACCCTTGTATGTGTGTGGCCAGCACCGCACCTGCTGAAGCGAACCCTTCTCTTCTGTTTCAGTAACTGCGGCCTCTTCAAATGGGAACGGGACGGAATGCTAAAGGTATGTCATTTGCAAGGTGGCTAACAGCAGAGACGGTGCAAATAATAACTAGTTTCTAATTAAAGTATAATCATTTCTAATTAAAGTATCCTCCTTTTTCTAGGAAAAGAAAGGTCCAAAGATAGGAGGAGAAACCCTGTTACCCAGAGGAGAAGAACATGCCAAATTTCTGAATAGCCTTCAGTAATTCTCACATCAGCCCCTTTGCCACGCCCTCCCTTCGGGTGGCTCCAGAAAAGCTCCACGTTGCCCATGTGCTCATGGGTACATTCAAAATCAGTATGGGTGAAGCCCCTCAGCTGCCCTTCCCCCACTGTGTTGGATCAAATCTGACGTTGACATTGCAGGGAGAAAATCAAAGTATCATTCCTTGTCTTGGGTTTCCCTGCCGATGGCTACATTATTGCATTCGCAGCTTTTTTTTTTCTTCTTTGGCCAAGTAGCAGAAGATAAGCCACAAGCTGTATTTCGGTATCTCCAAGTTAGAAAGTGTGTAATGCAGCAGAGTTCTCCTGATAAAATTCTAGGGCAGCACC